CAAAGATGCCGTACAACAGCTACTTCGGCATCTCATGTTTTGGAGGATGTCTCAGGCGAAATCGACATGTTCGAAAATCCGAAGGTTTCGCCAACGATTTCAACAGCTCAATTTTCTGAGGATGTCTCAGGCGAAACGCTCATTTTTGGCAGAAGAAGTCTGAAAACAGCTTTTTCTACATCCCACTTTTTCGAGGATGTGTCAGGCGAGAGCCCCATTTTCGAAGAGCCGAAGATTTCGCGACCGATTCCAACATCCAGTTTTTTGAGGATGTCTCAGGCGAAATCGTCATTTTTAATATAGATCGTCTTGAACGATAGCCTCCAACATCTCCATTTTGTGAGGATGTCTCAGGCGAAATGGCCATTCTGGGGAATCCGCCAGGTTCGAATAAAGGAGCAACCCCGAGCCCTTCCCCTCCTGGACCTCCCCAGTTGATAAACCCTCCGGGCCAGGACCAACGTCCATCGCGCGACTGTTCGAGTCTAAGCGCGCTTCCCGTCATCCGCCTGGGGCTGACGGAGGAGCAACCCCGAGCCCTTCCCCTCCTGGACCTCCCCAGTTGATCAACCCTCCGGGCCAGGACCAACGTCCATCGCGCGACTCTTCGAGTCTAAGCGCGCTTCCCGTCATCCGCTGGGCAAAATATAACGAGGCGGCGCCGCACGTTTCCCCTCCAGACCTCCCCCTGATGAATAAATCCCTCTGGGCAAACAGACGTCCATCGCGCGACTCTTCAAGTCTTGGCGCGCTTCCCGTCATACCACGAGGCAGCGCCGCACGTTCCCCCTCCAGACCTCCCCCAGTTGATGCAAAATCCCTCTGGGCAAACAGACGTCCATCGCGCGACTCTTCGAGTCTTGGCGCGCTTCCCGTCATCCGCCACGTCCCCGATCACGAGGCAACCCCGAGCGTTCCCCCCCCAGGCACCCCCCTTTACAAACAATCCCTCTGGGCACACAGACGTACATCGCGCGACTCTTCGAGTCTAAGCGCGCTTCCCGTCATCCGCCACGCCCCGAATCACGAGTGCATCCCGCGCGTTCCCCCCCTAGACCCCCCCCAGTTGATACAATCCCTTTGGGCGACAGACGTCCATCGCGCGACTCTTCGAGTCTTAGCGCGCTTTCCGTCATCCGCCACGTCCCGAATCACGAGGCACCCCCGCGCGTCCCCCCCTCAGACTCCCCCCAGTTGACACTGCATGTGGCCAACAGACGTCCATCGCGCGACTCTTCGAGTTTTAGCGCGCTTCCCGTCATCCGCCACATCCCCGATCCCGAGTGCATCCCGCGTGTCCCCCCCTCGGACTCCCCCCAGTTGATGCAATCCCTCTGGGCGACAGACGTCCATCGCGCGAGTCTTCGAGTTTTAGCTCGCTTCCCGTCATCCGCCACTTCACATATTCTCGCTTCAGACGGGTCATTTCACAACCAACACGCTTCAGAGAGCGAAATGCCCCCCTGACGTGGACCCACAGAGGTTTCGGACACTGAAAAACATGTGTCGTTTATGTGCGTTTACTCGCCTGGTTGTAAAGTGGCCTTCCTGGTTGTGAAGTGCCCTTCTGGGAAAACCCATGCTGGTTGTAAAGTGCCCCATCTGGTTGCAAAGTGGCCGTTCCGCTTGCAATGTGACCCGCACGCTCTTCCGGGGCCCTTGCCCTGCCCTTCCCCCCGCACGGCCTCAGCCGACTCCTCGGTTGCCCCTCTGCCATCGGCTGGCCACCAGGCAAGAGGACCTCGGCACCCAGGTCGTCGCCGGGCACTTGCATGGTCCGCTGGAGACCCTGTTGGTCTCGGCGATCTGCTCAGCTTCACGGGTGCTGCTGGTAAACCGAAGGAACCGTCGGATGAAGGCCCCGGGCATGCGGGCGAGAACGGCATGGAACTCTCCTTTCTCTTCCTCGCCAGCGTAAAGCAGCAGCAGCTCAGAGACGTATCGTGGACGCCACGGGCGATCAACGCCGCACCCTGCCATGCCTGCGTGGCGGAATGTGAGGCGTCAGTGCAGCAACGCTAGTGGACTGCGTCGTATGCGAGCTGTCAGGGAAGCACTGGGGAACATTGGGGAGAGGCTCCCTAGGGCCGTCTTGGAGCTGTCTTGGAGCTCTTTTCTAGCCTTTTGGGCCTTCCTTGGGGCCTCATGATACTCTCTCGGGTCATATTGGAGCTCTATTGGGCTCCTTGGGCTGGCCGTCGGAGACCGTCTTGGGAGTCTCTCTGGGCTGTGTTCGGGACTCCTTGGGGCCGTTTAGGGTTGTCTTGGGGCTCATTAAGGCCGTCTGTGTGCCTCTTTGGGGTCCTCGTGGGGCCCTTCTGGGCAGCCCTCCAGGGCTGCCTGGGTGACCTGGGCAGACCGAATAGGCGAGCATTCGAAAAGCATTGAAAAACATTCGGGGAATCCAAGGCTGTTGCCGTCCTGGATGACTTCCTGGAGCCTTCTTGAGGCGTCTTCGGTTCCTCTGAGACCGTCCCGGGGCCCTCTTAGAGGCATCTCGAGAGACCCTCTTGGACCCATCTTGGGCGGAATAGGCGATGGAGTGCTGATTTGATGGGCCGAAGGCCACCACGAGTCTTTCTCAAGGGCCAAGGGTACGCTGCAGGCGTCGGCACGCCAGGCACTCTGGCGGATCTAGTGGCTTCATGCGTACTGGCAAGACGCTGAAACAAGGACACGTTTGGGTTCGGGAGGGGCTCAAGTTTTCGGCCCGTTTCTCAGATCTGGGTCGGGGAACATCCTCGTAGCCGAGACTCGCCGTGGCCAAACAATGCTGTTCTTCCTTATTTTGGGCGTAGCCCGAGTTTGCTTCTCGCGAGGTAAGCTGGATGAACTCGCTGGCTGATCTGACTGTACCGGACTGGCCGCGCCTGTTAGGCGACCATTTTATTTTCTGCCGCCGAACGCGAAATTTATAGCGTAACCAATGGCAGACACGTTTTATCGGCGGCCGACCGCGCAACCAAAGGCACAATCAATAGCAGGCCATTTGATTCTCGGCAGCCGAGCGCGAAACCTATGACGCAATCAATAGCAGTGCGTTTTGTTCTCGGCGGCCTAGTTGATCCTCGGCGGCCGAGCGCGCAACCTATGACGCAATCAATAGCAGTCCATTTTGTTTTCGGCGGCCGTCCGCGAAAACTGAGGTGCAATCAATAGCTGGCCAGCTGGTTCTCGGTGGCCGAACGTGCAACCTATGGCACAACCAATGGCAGGCCGTTTTATTCCCGGCGGCCGAGCGCACAGCTTCTGCCTGCCGCAGTCAGTAGCAGTCCGTTTTAATCTCGGCAGCCGAGCGCGGAACACATGGCGTAATCAATCGCAGGCCGTTGTGTTCATTGCAGCCGAGTGCGCAATTTATTGCGCAATCAATTGCAAGGCGTTTTGATCTCGGCGTCCGAGCGCGCAACCTACGGCGCAACCAATAGCCGACCGTTTTGTTCTTGGTGACCGAGCGCCCAACCGATTGTGCAACCAGCAGGCCGTTCTGTTTTGGGCGGCCGAGCACGCAACAGATGGTGCAACCAGGAGCAGGTCTTTCTCAGGTTCAGGAAGGTCAGAGGCACGGAGGGCGAGGAGGACCTTAACGACGACGACGACGACCGCGACGACGACCTGTTTGCGAGCATGCGATCGAAGGAGTTGGTGTTCCTCATTCGGATATACCTTTCTGTTGTACCCCCCCTTCTAAGCACATGCGCCAACCACATATGTGTTTGTTTCGGTGGAAGTAGTACGCGATGCGAATTCAGCTGTTGGGAATAGTCTTCAAATGGACTTGGCGCGATCTCGATTAGGGGTCTCCTTTCTCCCACAGGGGTTCAAAGCAGTTCTGAGCAATGCAAGCAAGCAAAGCATTGCTTGCCGTTGCTTCGCATTGTCTGGCAATGTTTTGCGGTGCTTAGCGTTTCGCGGCGCTGGTTGGCATTATCTTAGCATTGCTTGGCATTGGCTTGGCATTGGCTTGGCGTTGCTTGGCGTTGTTTGGTGTTGATTGGCACTGTATCACGTCGGTTCGCATTGCTTTGCGTTGCTCCACATTGCTTGACATTGCTTGGCGTTGCTGGGCGTTGCTTGGCAGTGGTTGGCATTGCTTGGCATGGTTTGGCATCGTTTCGCATTGATTCGCTTCGGTTGTGTGGCACTGATTGGCATTGCTCTGCATTGCTTTACATTGCTTTACATTGCGTTGCATCGCTTTGCGCTGCTTCGCAATGCTTGGCATTGCGCAACTGGGCAACCGGAGCAACCCGTGCAACCCAGGCAAGTTGGGCAATTGGGCAATCCCAAGCAAACCCGAGCAAGGCCTTCCATTAACGACGCCGAACCCACAAGTAATCTTGCTTTCGCAAAGAAGTAGTATTGCATCAGGCAAAGCTTAATTGGACATGTGTGGCACGGTAAAGTTACGGTGGCGTTGCGGATAACGCGCAGGCATCCGGGATCAGCAACGTTCGGTGGAATTGTATTTTGAGCGCGATTCTGGAGGATATGATGGATATGTGATCCACCCTTGGGCGTCTGCCATTTTATTCAAGTGGGCGCGCTTGTGTTATTCAAGTTGGTGTGCCCGCCTGGATACTTTCGGTTCGGGCGTCTAGGTGAGGAAGAGATGATCTGTTCGTCGGCAGAGTTCTCGGTTTTTCCCGCACCTCCTGCAGGCAAGAGTTTACGGGCATCGGGGGGGGGACCAGTCTTTTCGAGCAGGTTAGGTACCCCAAGCGCTGCGCAATCATTTCCACCACTACTAGCAGAAGACCAAGCACGATATTAACGAACGCGCAAGCAATACAAAACTCCAAGAGGGCAATAGCTATAAGGTTCAGACGCTTGTGCGGGCGGGCGGGCACTGTCCTCAGGTCCCTTTTATGGCCCCCCAAACACCGCGCTACTTACTTGTCTCGGCACTCGCTCTTGAAGTACCTTTATGTCGAATTCTGTTTTGCAGCCGCAGCCCTGAATAAAAGAGCGCGGCCTCGCCTGCAAGTCAGAGTGGGGAGCGTCGGAAGTGGAGGCGGCGGGCAGTGATACTTATGATATGCAGTTAGAGCTGGTAGATTACAGTGCCTGAGAATGCCAAGCGCATGTAACTGTCATTGGCTTTGTCGTTTGCCCATCCTTCAACGGGGCCCCATGTGGGCCTGCACGCAATGTTTGTACCAGCTCTGAAGGCTGTTGGCGACGAGGGCCGCGCCTTGCACACCTACGTGGCGGGACGCTTCCAGGAGGTGCAAGCCCTGGAAGCCTCTAGAGAGTGGAAGGCGCACTACCGCATGCGCGCGCGGTCTAACGCCATCTGGCAGTGCCGCCTTCACAAGACGACGTCATGGCTGTTGACTTCAAGCTGTTTGCAGGCTGCTGCGTTCATGGGGTGGGCACTGATGATCTACCCGCGCTGCGATGCCCTGCTGACGGCAGGGGTCCTGATCAACATTTTAAACGTCGTGTGGGCTGTCTACGCCGTGTTGCGTTGGTGTGGAAGTGGAAGGGTTGGGCCAGATCCCGTTGTGGCTTGGTTCAATACACTTGAGGACGCGGACACCGCCTCCGTTGCTTCCGACGAGGACGGGAAACCAAGTTCAATTACGCAGGGAAGGGGACGGGGGAAGAATCGCACAGGTAACCTCGATAACAAAAGCAGCATTTCTGTTCGGAGAGGCGGCTTGGGAGAACAGTTTGGTCACATGTCTGTTAGTTGACGTGTTCATTTGATGGTAGACCGCTTCTTCCGTAAGCTGTCTGCGGGGGGCCACGATCATTGTTCTTGCCGCCCGAGAATACACCGTGGTCGTCCGCCCCACGGCTGCCACGCAGCTAGCTACATTCAGTCGGCGGCAACTTGAAATCACATCCGCTAGCGATGGCGATTCCCAGAATCCCCACCCCATACATAGTGGCCACTTCGTGGCGACCACGTAGCGAGCCCCTGGCATGCCTGCAGCTACTTCGCGGCCGCCGTGTTACGGAAGCCGCTTGGCTATATCGTGGGCTCCTCGCGGTTGTCCCCCTTTCCCTTCTCCTCGTCCTCCTTTCCCAACCCCCCCTCATTTCTCCTCCCTCCTGGCAGTTGCCACGTCGTGGTCGCTTAGTGCCTGCTTCGGAACCGCTGGTGTAGGTGCCGAAGCTGATTGATTGTTGGCTGCACCAGGCCACTCCATGCTTGTATTTGGTAAATGCCGGGTTCAAGAGGGCCTCGTGTCAAGATGAGATATCGTTTCTCAGACCAGAGTTGGAAGGGATAGAAACAAAGTGATTGCGACGCGAAGGAAAGACACGATGCGAAAAAACGGCGTGAACGAGGTGGATATGACAAAACATTCAGTGCGAGACTTTCGCACTCAATGTGACTTCCAAAAGTTGGATGCAATGACGCCAGACGGTGGAAGCCCAGCTAACTACCGTAATCCCAGCTAACTACCGCAAGCGGGGAAAATTGGATACGAAATTAGAGGTTGATAATTAGTTCGTCTGATCTTACCATGTACGGTAGTAATTGGGGGTTTATGTTGAGAGCATGTCGCTACCAAAGCGGGCCTAACAGGTGCATTGCCCAAGCATGTATGCCATGTGCGCGGCGCGCCTATATCATAGCTGAGTCGCAAGTGCCGTTGCATGACTACATCGTAGCTGCTCTGCGGCAGCCTTCTAGGCACCTCGGAGCAATCTCACGGCCACCGCGAAGACGCCATGCATGGCGCGTACATTATCATATGTGTTCCAGTTCCGTGCACGCGCATCCCTAAACATCGGGTTTCGTGCGCGTGAGTACTCAAACAATGCATTGAAGCATGTGGGGTGTTCTGGCAGAGTCATTTGGCTGAGTCCCTTTCCTGTACTCGCTCCAGTCCACAATGGCGCGCCATCACGGGGAGGGGAATGTCGAGAGAGGCACAGGGCCGTCCACCCAGAGGAGCCACACGACGAGAGCGGCAGTGGCCTGGCTGCCGAGGGCGCGCCCGAGGGCGAGGACCGGCCGGCCCAAACGACCACCACAGAACTTGGGCCGCCTTCCCCCAACGCGCGGGCCCCGTCGCTTCGGGGCCCCGGGTGCCTCGGGACCCCGGGCCCGGAACCTTTGGGCCGGCGCTGTGCCAGGGGGGGGGGGCGAGGCTGCGGGCCTTCGGCGCTTCGGTGGGGGCCCCGCGGCCGGGCGGGCGGGGAGTTTGCCCGGCCGGTCCCGCCCGGCCGGGCCTCCTGGCGCCCCCGCGTGGACCTGGAGGTCCGAAAACCCCCTTTTCCGGAACTTTGACCGACCAGAGGACCCGCCCGCGGGCGGCCGTCATCGGCCTGGCTCCGTGGTCGTACAGAACCTTGACCTGGCGGAGACTGCACAGAAGACGGTGGTGGTGGAGAACAGTCCAGTCAAAGGGGCTCGTGCCCAGGCGGCGCCAAGGAGGGACATCACGAAGCAAGAAATCGGGCCGGACAAAAGGGGAGGACAGGGAGAGGGGGGGACGAAATCTGCTGCATGCAGCTGGTTTCGGTCCCGCCGCCCAGCACTTTCCTCTATATACATTGGCGCCTCCAGCGCCAGGAGGCGCTGGGAAACTCTGCTGCGTGAGCTGATTCGCTAACCCCGCATTTGCTAAACCCTCCTTCCGTCAGACCCGAAAAAGGCACTCGTGTCCTTTTTTCTTTAGCTAGTTCTCGAGGGGCCTCGGGCAGGGGAAAATCGTTCACACGTTGGGCGTACTTGCCGCAAGTAAGGAGCATGTTCCCCTCCCAGGAGAAGTAGGGCTTCGGCCAGCAGGGCCTCGACCCCGCCGCCGCCGCCGACAATCCAGTCAGACAGCGGAGGCGGCGCTTGAGGGAGGCGCCAGAAGCTTTGACCTTAGACGGCCAGAGCGCTCTGTCAATTCGGTCTGGGGCACCACATCCAGACAGACTGGGGTTTTGCGGAGCAGCCGGAATTCATTTGGGTTCTGGTGAACCGAGGAGGGGCCGCATTGAGTCCTTCCTGGGCCCGTTGGGCTCTGTGGGACGTTTTCAGACTTCGTCTGGGCCTTCGCAGCTGTTTGGTGGCGTCCCCATGGGAGTATTGGGGCAACATTTCAGGAATACGGCAGGAGTCACGGCTTAAGAGTACACGAAGGTTTTGTGGGATACTGACTGCGTTGGAGGGTCATGTAGGTTTCTGTCGGGCGGAGGCGGAGGCGGAGGACGGGGAGGGAGTGATGGAGAGACCACGTGATGAGGACGGAAACGAGGAAGAAAGAGGGGCAGGAGGAGGAGGAGGAGGAGCCAGAGGTAGAGGAGGCAGTGGACTCTTGAGGCCGTCATTGGCGGACGTGAGGCGTTTTGGAGGCATGTCTGGGGTTATCTGAGACGCCTACGGCGAACCGCCGCCGCCCCCCTACCTTTTGGAAACGCCTAAGTGGCCAAACGGTGGGCCGAAGTCTTGCCAAGCTATTGGACTACGTGTTCCCCAGCCAATTCAGGGCCGTCTTTGGACGTCTGCAGAGCTGTCTTGGGGCCTTCTTCGGGCGTGTGGCTCCCTTTGGACACTTTGGGTCAGTCTTGGAGATCTGTTCGGCTGTCTTGGGGCCATCCTGGGGCCGTCTTGGGGGTCTCTTGGGCGGTATTGGGGCCTTCTTGGCCAGTCTTGGAGCCCTCTTGGGGATTTCTGGGGCCGCTTTGGGACTATCTGAGACGCTTCTGGGGCCGTCTTCGGATGTTGGAAAGAGCATCTTCTGACGCAATTGGGAGAAAGTGTGGGGAGGAGGGTTTGGAGGAAAGGGGGGAGGTGATGTCGAGGGGGGGTCTCCTCCGTTTCGTCGAGGGGAGAGTTTGGCAATTTCTGCCAGTCAAGGTGCGGTAGAAGACGTTCTCTCGGATGACGGAAGCCCGAAATGGCGAGAACGCGATACTTAGTTCAAAACAGCTTAAGGAACATGAATGATGTTGGCCTCGTGGAGTTCCTCCGGGAGGCCTCTTGGGGCGTCGTGGGGGCCTCTTGGGCCGTCTGGAGGGCATTTTGGGCCGTCTTCGAGTCGCCTTGTCAGACTTGGTGGCAATATTGGCCGTTGAGGAGGCGTCTGGGGCCGTCTTGGAGGCCATCTTGGAACGTCTTGGGTCATCTTGGAAACCATCTTGGGCGTGTGAAGGCAGATGAAGGTCCTTTGTGGGTGGGAAGGGCCTTCCCGTATAGCATGCGGGATCGGCCAGGACCTCATTGGGAAGAATTGTTTGGAAGGGCTCAAATTTCGGCACGCCAGGCACTTCGGTGGCAAGCACAGTTGGGGACGTATCGAAGACGCCTACGGCAAGTCACCGTGCCCCCTGGCTTTCGAAAGCGCCTATGTGGTCGAACGTTGCGGCTAGAGCTCAGCGAAACTATCGGACTACGAGCTCCCCCAGCCGTTGTGGAAACCCGTCGTGGAAGCCGCGGGGGAGAAAGAAGAAGAATAACAAGAGGAGGATAAGGACGAACAGTGAGGAGGAGGAGGAGGAGGCCTCTTGGGAGCCTCTAGGGGAAATCTTAGGGCCTCCTAAGATCTTCCTGGGAGCCTCCTGGATGCCTCTTGGGGGCCTTTCTCGTGGCGCGATTCCTATGTGTTTTGCGTATGTGCCTTCAGGGTGCCCCTTTTCTTGGGGATCGGATCCCGTGTGTTTTGCTTATGTGCCTACGGAGTGCCCCTCTCTTGTGGCTCTTGTCTTGTGTGTTTCACATGTGTGCCTATGGATTGCCCTTCTCCTGTGGCTCGGGACCAGTGTGTTCACTATGTGCCTATATATTTCCCTTTCTCCTGTGGCTCATATCCCATGTGTGTTTTACGTATGTGCCGATGTGGCCCGACTTCGATGTGTGTTTACGAACGTGCTTATCGATTGCCATTATCCTGTGGCTCGAGCCCTGCGAGTTTTAAGTATGTGCCCATAGATGGCCCTTTTCCTGTGGTTCGATTTGTTTATGTTTTACGGATTTGCCTATCCATTGCCATTTTCTTGTGGTTCGAGTTTAGTGTGTTTCGCTTATGTGTTTATGTTTTGTTCGTCTCGTGCGGCTCGAAGATTAAGTGTATTACGTATGCGCCGTCGGGAAAGCCGAGGAGACGGTGCGCTGATTGCCGTCGGCAACGCGGACAATTCAGCCCCCCTCCGGACGTTGCACGCAGCGACGACGAGAAGAAAGTACGATTGCAATTTGAGCGGCCACGTTGTGATGCAATTAACGTCGGCGCGAACCGCGGGGGGCCAGGCCGCCCTTTTGACAGGCGAGGCAAGGGAGGGCGGCAAAGCTTTTGGAAAGTTGGGAACTGTGGGTCGAACTGTGGTTTTCCAAAGTGGGTCCGACGCGAACGACCGGCGCGGGTTGTGAAAGAATTGGTTTTAGATGCGGGCGCGGACTTGGCCCCTGGCGCTACTGATTCGGAAAACCGCGTGAAGGTGGTAAAGGGACTTCGCGGCGCTGCTCAATGCAGTCGCGGATTCGTAGCAATGCGCTCGACATGGCCGCCGCTTTCAAGCCGATGCAGACAGGTTGTTCACAGGGACAGCGGCGACTCGGAATGCGACCCCGCGCCGTGGAATCTGGACAGCGTCATGGGCCATTAAGGAGCGACCGAATTGGCCACGCACGTGGAGAATTAACAGTGTCGCGAGCGGAGACGAGGTAACTCCAGGATCTCTCGATGCGGCTGGCCGGTACGTCGCGGAGGTATTCGACGGCATCACCTCCCAATACGGTTCTGAGTTGTGCATCCCGCACAGTGCCACGACTGAGAATGCAAAGCCAGGCGAGCAGCCGTTCATCCCTTCGAACGCGGTGCTGCTCAGCCTGTTGCGCCCATGCTCTCGCAACAACGGTGCTGCTCAGCCTGTTGCGTCCACGCGGTCCACGGCGCCGCTCAGCCTGCGGCGCGCTTCGTGTTCCGCGAATGCCGAAGGAGGAGAAAATCCGTCATCATCGCCAGGTTTTCTTCTAGGTTCAGAGGGGGTCGTGGAGTTCCGACATAACCCTCACCAACATCAGCATCATCATCATCATCATCATCATCATCATCATCATCATCATCGTCGCCATCATCACCACCATCACCATCATGATCATGAAAAGCGATCAGCCAAATCATCCCCATCGCTGGCATATTTTGGAAATCTGGAAAATTCCATGCCAGAGTTGCTGGCAGGTTGCTGTGCTTGGGCATTTCGCTTCTAATTCGTTCCCAGGTCTGCGGGTGGGGATATTTTCCTGGCGCCCGAAAAACTTCGGATTTGCCCATTGGGGCAGTGGGGTGATTCGGAGAGGCGACGCGGCGCGGGGCGCAGAGGACACGGCAAGGGGAGGCAGGAGGGCGACGATGCTGGCGCGACGAACGCGAGTAAGCAACGCGCGGGCCTGGCAGATTTTTAATGGCCTCTCTGGGCCCGCAGGTCGTTTATGCCATTAGATTATTGCGAAGGTTTTTCGGTCGGCGCCGCCGACCTAGAAGGGGGACGCCGACGACGACAACGACGGCGAAGACGATGTCGATGCTGACGCTCTGGAAGTAAGCAGCGCGCGAGTTTGGGCGTGTTGGGGCCATCTTGCGGGCATTGTGGGGCCATCCTTGACCGTCAGGGCCACCTTTCATCGTCTGGGGGTTTTGAGGGGCGGACTTGGAGGAATCGTGGGGCCCTCTTGCCATCAGGTGGCGTCCCCACGGGAATACGAGGGCAGCCCTGACCGCCCGACACACACACACACCAACACACCACAACACAACACAACACAACACAACACAACACAACACAACACAACACAACACAACACACCACAACACAACACAACACAACACAACACACCACAACACAACACAACACAACACAACACAACACAACACAACACAACACAACACAACACAACACAACACAACACAACACAACACAACACAACACAACACACACACAACACAACACACACACAATCACCAACACATAATCACCAACGTGTTTTTTTTGTCGCCGCGGGCCCGAGGCGGAATTCTGGTTTTCGGGCCGCTCCGTGGATCTAGGGCAGGGGGTCCATTCGTTGCCGAGGTCGGCCGTGGCCAGGACAGCCCCTTCGTTTTTGTTTTCGTTTTCTTTACGTAGCGTGAAGACAGCACAGGAGACAAATGATGCGACCGACACAAGACGAAACAAATGGCACATGACGACCGTCCAGCAGCACGGCTCACAACTTTGCGCCCCCGAGAGGGCCAGCGGATACAACGGCGCGTTCCGACGTCCCGTGGTTGTTGCTCGGTCCACGTCCCGCGGTTCGTTCGATCCCACATGAGGGCCGTTGATCCGACATCGAGCAGTATCGGTGCGGTCGGCAGGGCGCTTCGACCAAGCGCATGTTCCACGTTTTAGTATCCATGGGACCGTGGTTAGGCATCGGGACCTTACCGCACGCCGGCTTTGATCGAAAGAGATGGTTCTAAGGTCTTGGCGTGAGCCGCGCTGCGACCGCGTCCTGCGGATGGCCTTCGCACTTGTTTCGGTTCCCCTACCTGTGTCACTCTGGCCCTCTTACCCCGCTCCCTGCCCCTTAATTACATGTTGTCTGTGTCAGGCAAAACGCCCTTCTTTGCGGCGTTAGCTTGGGACGTACACTGCCGGGGGACTAGCACCCCACACATGGAGAACAAGATTGCAGAAATGGTGTACTTGGAGTTTCATCGAAATTGATGTCCCCCCCCCACCTCGCACACGTTCATATGCGAAGCTGCGCTGACCCAATGGTTCGATGTTGCTCAAGAGTCGATGTCCCGAATAGGTCAAACGCGGGTCAACGGGCTCATAAAGTTAAATTGACAGCCGTGCAAGCGCGACAGACAGCACCAATCGGCAGATTTTTGTACAAGACTGTGTTCGCTTGCGTTGTCGCTCGTATTCGCCAAGGCGCTCGAAGAAGTTGCCCAGCAACGCTTCACCGTGGCATGGCGGTGGCATTGCATGATTGTCGCGGTGCTTCGCGGGATGGGCTTTCTCGCGCGCCTGCTGGGAGCGGGGTCCACTTGGGCCGTCAGCGAGGGGAAGGATCCTGGCGGCCGTCTGGGGGGATCTTGGGGCTCCGTACACGGGGGTCGCGAGGCTGTCTTGGACCAGTCTTGGGGCGGTCGTGGAGCAGCCGCCCACGGGGCGTCCGGGTGGAGCGCCTCCCGAACCGCCAGGGCGCCGTTTGGAACAGGCCCATGGCCCTCCAGAGGCCGAGGTCTTACCGAGCCGCCCGCCATGACAACGCACAGACCGAAAACGCTGATCGATTCGCATGTGTTTGACACGTTGCTGAACATGTTGAGTGGAGGGGGGGGTTGTTCCCAATTGCCAAGGGCTTGAGGTATACACGTCAACCGCACCACGCAGCGATGAGCGTGGCGACAAACTCAAGCATTTAATGATCATGAGCGTAGCGTGACCCATGGAGGAGCTTCTTTTTGCTTCCGCAGACAAGCCGAAAACAAGCTACATAAATGGCAAGCGATACATCCTGAACACAATGAATCGTGATACACAATGATTACCCTGTCAAGCGTTACGGCGTTGGTTCGTACCGCTGTGCTCTATTGTGCAGTGCGGTACGGCGCAGTGCATCGCATTGCGTTTGTATGTGATGTGTTGTGGTTGCGTTTCTTCTACTTGGTTTGAACGGCATGGTGTTGGTGTGCATTGTGCTGCTTTGTTGTGCTTCGCATTGTTTTGAATTGTACGGCACCGGAGTCATGTGCGTTGCTCCGCTCGGCTGTGCAGCTGTTTATGTCTGAGTGCGATGGTGTTGTGTGTGTTGCGTTGAATGTATGTGCGTTGCGTTGCATCGTAACGTGGTGCATTGTGCTCCATTGCGTTGTACAGGTTTACTACACATTGCACCGTTTCGAATTGTGTGTACATGTCTGATTGCGTACGCGTTGCTGTTCAGAGCGGGTTGGGCGGCGGGGCAAGTAATCGAGAAACGTGGGAGTACCACTTTTGGTTAACCTGGGCTTGGTGCATCCTCAAGAAACGATTTCAGCAAATGACTGCCACCAGCCGTCTTGCGCAGAAAACTGGGACCCCTAAGGGTACAGCCCAACTGGCGGGACAAATATGCACTCGTGCATGCAGTCCATGGGCTGTCCTGGAGCAGATGCAACATCCAATCGGTCGACGTGTGGGACCTTTTCGCACTAACTTGCGGCACGTGTTCACAGTAAGTGGGCGCGTTCCACACATGACGCGTTTTTTTTGTCCCGCTTTCCGGCGAGCATGATGATGTTAGCATCGGAGAGGTTTGCGCAATTTGTGCCAAGCCAGAAGGCACATACATAACCCAAACTCACAAATGACATTGATTTGCTCACTGAGCGTGGGATGCATAGGTTCTGCTCGAGTTGAGTTGCGCAAGTGTGTTTAGAAACATACAAACATACATACATGAAGGTTGCGATTCCTAGACGCGCGTGGGCTCTGGTTTCAAGCTCTCGTTCGCCGGCCGCCCCCGAGTTGCCAAGCCTCCCTGCTTCGCTGGTGGATGCTCGTCTCGCTTCTGCCGGCGGCGGCGTCCTCGCGCGGCCGGCGGGTGCGAGCGCCCCTCTCGGCCGAGGCCGCGGGCCGTCCTGGCGGCTCGGCGGCTAGCGCGGCCGTCCAGACCGTGAACGTGAACGTGACCCCTCATGGGACTGGCCTCCTGCCGGTCGCAGCTGCCCTTGGAGCGGGCAAGGCGCGCCTCGACGTGGGCACGCAGACAGAACCCGAGGCGGAACCCAAGGTCGCCGTGCCCTGCGCGGCTTCGGCCGCCCCGCCCCACGCGCCCCGGGCTGCGCGTACCGAAGCCTGGGCCTATACGCGGTCTGGGCGAGCCCGGCGGCCCCCGAGCTCGCGGGGGTCCATTGCGGCGCCAGGCGTGCCTGGGGCGCCATCGCCAGGCGGATCGGCGGTTACCGCTGCTTCCGCGGGGACCGCCTACGCCGCTTCGCCTCGGAGGGCGAGGCGGTCTCGGGTTTCATCGAGGAGGGCATCCGCCACGGCACGCCGGTGCCCCCTCCGCTCCACCGCTGGCGAAAATGGCTTTCGAGGAGGACGTCTTCGACACGGGCGACGGGGATGTGGAGGACCCCGAGGCTTGGTTCGAGCAGTCCACGCCCCAGTACGCGGTCGCCTCCACGCTGCTGCCGGCTCCTGCTGCCAGCGCCGTGGGTGGGGTGCGCGGGCAGACGACCTCTCGACGGCGGCGGTGGTACCAGGTGGGCGGCTCGTCGCGGCCTAGGAGACGGCGCAGCTGCCGGCCTGGGATTGCGTCGGCGCGCCGCTCGATGGCCAGCTCATTTCTGCCGAGATCGTGGAGACGCCGGGCGCCCTGGTGCGGCGCTTCGCCACTGCCCCGCCCACCGACGGCCAGGTTTCCGCCTTCCACGACGACGTCTGGTGGCCCGAGCCGATGGCTGCCCTTGGGGCCGCCCCCCCCGAGACGTTGGCAACCCTGGATTCCCTGCAGGGCGCGGGGCCCGGGCCCGATCTCGAGCCGTCGGGCGGTTTGTCCGCGCGGGGGTGGCCTCCAGCCGGGACTCGGGACGCTGCTCCGCCCTCCCCTGGCCCCCGGGCTGCAGCCAGCGACCCGCTGGGGTTGGGCCCGCCGCGCGGCTCTCCGGGGGCGCCCCCCCTTTCCCAGCCGCCGCCGCAACGCCGCCGGGCGAGTTCGCGGAGCAGCAGCGGGCCGACGCACTCGAGGAGGCGCGGAGGCTCGCTGCCGAGGTGGATGAGCTGAAGAGGCGGCGCGAGGCTTTGCAGGCGGAGGCGGCGGGCCCGGTGCGTCCGAAACCAGGCGCGCGCAAGGCCCCCGCTCGGCTTCCCAGCAGTAGCAGGTCCTGGAGCAGATCCTCGCGGGCCAGAGCGCGCTCCTGGAACGCGTCTCGGCCCTGGAGTCTGGCGGAGCTCCCTCCAGAATGCCGGCGGCCCTGCCCGCGGCCCGCGCGCCGCCCCCGGGGAGGGCCCGGGCGCGGATCCAAGAAATCCGCGCGGATCGCCAAAAGTTGATGCTCATGTGGTTTATTATGTTTCTTCTCATGATTCTTCTTTTTCTTCTTCTTCTTCTTCTTCTTCCTTTTCTTCTGAGAGAGAGAGAGAGAGAGAGAGAGAGAGAGAGCGAGAGAGAGCGAGAGCGAGAGCGAGAGAGAGAGAGAGAGAGAGACGACGGAGATCCCGTTGACTAGACCCGCGGACCTCGACGGCATGAGGGGTCCGCGGGGGCCTCGGATGTTCATCTGCTCGGCGCCGCTGCCTGGCCTTCAGGCACCGCCTGCAGGGGGCGCTCGTGCGTCTGCAGGGCCTCCTCCGTCGCAGGGCTCCGCGGCGCGTCGCCCGGGCGGCCCCGAGCGGGGCGTTCATGGGGCCCCGAGCGGGGCGCTCGCTCGGCCAGCCCCCCGCCTCCGCCCGGGCCGGCGGCCGCGGCCCGCGGAGTGCTGGCCCCCCTGGGTCTGCCAGCGGCGCACGCTGCGGCGGCGGCCGCCGGGCCCCCGCCGCTCCGCTGCCGCTGGGGATCGAGCAGCGGCGAAGCGCTAACACGTCGGGCCTATGTTCTAAGAGCATTGTTTTTGTCATGAGAACATGTTTGGGCTCTAAGAACATTTCATGGTAGGGCTAGAATAGGAATGCCGGGGCGGTCAGCCCCTGCTCAAGGGGAGGCGCGGCGAACCCGTTCCTCCCTTCGCGAGCCCGACGGCGCCCGGCCCCGCGGGCCCCCCCCCTCGGCGGCGGGCCCCCAGTCCCTGCGCAAGCGGGGCCCGGGCCCACCTCCGGCGGGCGCCGCTGCGGGGCCTCCGCGCCCGGGCTCGGCCCCGGGCCCTATTGCGGCCGCGAGGAGCAGCTGATGGCCCTGCTGTCCCAGCAGACGTCGTTGCATGGCGCCCCGGCCATGGGCGGGGGGCGAGCGCCGGGCGCGCTGGCCCTCCCGTCGGGCGGCGGGCGCGGCGACGGCTTCGGCGAGAGCGCCGGCGTGGGGCTCGGAGGCGCGCGCGGAGCCGCCGCGCTGGAGCTCTTCCGTCGCCGGGCCCAACAGAGCCCGCAGGGCGTCTCCGCCTTGGCGCGGCAGAACCGCCAGCTCAACATGGCGGGCGCTGCGAGCGAGGAGGGCGCGAGCGACGCGACCCGCAATTGCTTCGGTCGCAACGCCCCTTTCGGGCGGGCGAGGTCGTCGGCGCCCCTGGTCTTCGGCGCGGCGGAGGTGTTCGACCGGATGGAGCGCGGGTCGCGGCGTGCCGCCGAGGCCCGGCTGGATCTCCTCCTCTGCGCGTCGGAGCAGGCTGCCTGGCGGGAGCGGCGCCGGGCGTCGGCATGGCTGATGGCCCGCCTCCCCGAGCCGCCCTGGACCTCCATCCGCCAGGCGCCCGCGCGCAGCGCCCGACCTCGCCCGAGCGGGCCACGGCGGCGATCGCGCGAAGGACGCCCTGGCCCTCGAGGGCGCAGAGCGGAAGCTGGCGCCGACGCTGGCGCCGAAGGGCGAGGAAGGCGTCGCCCCCGGCCCTTCGGGCAGGCTGCTGGCGCCCCCCCGCGGGGCGCGCGTTGGCGCGGGAGACGGCTTTGCACCCGCGTCGAGCATCTGTGGGCCAACGCTGTCGTC